AAGGTGACAGTCGTTTCCTCAGACAGCTGAGTCAGCAGCTCCTGACGGTAATAGCTGCGCATCTCAACCCCCCACCCCCCGCAGAGGTCTGTTTTTATTTCCTACACCCAAAACAAGATAGACATAAGCCGAAGTGAGGAGGTGCTACAGAGAAAAGCAGATGATTAGTGATACACAAGCTGCCTGCTTCCTGTTTGTTTGCCAGTTTCACCTCAGTGTTCGTGTTTTCACGATGGGACTCATGGGTATAAAAGCCCAAAGCTGCTGAGCGCATCATTTCTCTATGAAAGATGCAGATAAAGAGATAAAGAGCACTCATCTCACACAGTTACAATTGGGAGTTTCCAGTTAGGGAAGTCCACTAAAAAAATAAGAGATATATCATCAAAGGCTGAGAGAAACTCACAGCGAAAGTGGGAAGTACAGAGACAGCTCATTTCAGAGGTAACCTGATTCCTAAATTACAGTTCATTTGCTCAGCTGTGTGTTGGATCTTCACTGGTCAAGCTTGAAAAAAGACTCTCCAGGAGCAAAGTTGCCCTTTTAAGAATGGCTAAGAATGAATTTATTTCACATTGAAGATTAGCCTAAAATAAAAGGAATTATAGTTTTCTATACAACTGTAGACTTAAAAATAAAAGGACTAATTTCACACAAAGTTTGCCAAAACCTCTAAAGTCTTGTTGTGAGAATGGCGGTATAGATATTATGAAAAGCTTCAGCAAGCTGACCTGTAGCGTAGCTGCAGCAATGATGGGGATGGGTTCTCATGAAACTATTCTGTCTTTAATTTGGATGAATTCTTGCGCTCTCATTATGCAGAAAAAAATCCATTTGTTTTTAGTTGGATTGGGGTCAAAATGATAAGATACACTTTATTGATCTCAAAGTGAAGAAATTCACTTGTGAAATCGGCTCAATGGTCAAAAAAAGGTGCCAAAAGGAGGAACCATCCATCCATCTTCGGACATGCTTAATCCCAAGTGGAATCGCAAGGTGCCTATCTCCAGCTGTCTACGGGCGAGAGGCGGGGTTCACTCTGGACAGGTTGCCAGTCCATTGCAGGTCAACACAGAGACAAACAACCATTCACACACACACTCACACCTAAGGAGAATTCATAGAAGCCAATTAACCTAACAGTCATGTTTTTGGACTGTGTGAGGAAGCCGGAGTACCCGGAGAGAACCCACACGTGCTCAGGGAGAACATGCAAACTCCATGCAAAAAGACCCCTTTGCTGCTGAGCAGCCGTCCAACATATTCCAAAAGGAGGAACATTTCTATATCTATAAATATATATATAAAACAGCTGGAGTGTCTTATTTAACAGGATTTTTGCACAGGTTGTTAAATAAATATTGATTGCACATTAATTAAATCACAAGATTTTGCAGTTGTGCCGCATTGTAAAGTCTGATGGCAGCACGTATAAATGAACTGTGGTAGCATTCCTTTTTGCAGTGGATTTTAAAAAGGACAGTTACTTTAATCCATAGCAGCTAAATTATTTTATTTCATCCAAAGAATATTAACACCAGAGCATGATTCTGCCAACACCATGTTAAACTTAAAGTATAGTATTCGTTGGCTGAGGTGCAGTGCCGTTTCAGTCCCAAAACATAGAATTTGAAATTAACACTAAAAGCTAAGCTTTGTTTTTTTAGGCCAGACCACTTTCTTCTGTCAGAATCGTCTGCTTAAGAAATTTTCATCTCACTTCCTTACCAGCAGGAGATACAGTAGACAATTACAAGGTCGGCTTTCTATCACCTGAAGAACATTTCCAGGATTAAAGGACTAATGTCTCAGCATGATCTGGAAAAACTAATCCATGCCTTTATTTTTAGTCGAATTGATTACTGCAACAGTGTTTTCACAGGTCTGCCTAAAAAGTGGATCAGACAGCTGTAGCTGATCCAGAACGCTGCTGCCCGTGTCCTCACTAAGACTAAGAAAGAAGAGCATATCACCCCAGTTCTAAAGTCCTTCCACTGGCTCCCTGTATCTCAGAGAATAGACTTTAAAATACTTCTGTTATTCTATAAATCTCTGAATGGCTTAGCACCTAAATACATCACAGACTTGCTATCAGTGTATCAACCCTCCAGACCACTCAGGTCTTCTGGCTCCAGCCTGCTCTGCATACCTAGAACCAGAACTAAAAATGGAGAAGCAGCATTTAGTTCCTATGCTCCACATATGTGGAACAAACTTCCAGAAAACTGTAAAAGTGTGGAAAGCCTGAGTTCCTTTAAATCAAGACTAAAAACACATTTGTTTAGGATTGCCTTCGACTGTTCTAGTTAAACAGTTCAACTTTTTTATTTTCTTTAGTCCAACTGTTTTTAATATTCCTTTTTGTTTCTGCCTTTTTTTTCTATTTTTATTTATTTATTTTCCTACTTGCTATGATTCTGTTTTATTTTCCTGTATTTTAATCATGTAAAGCACTTTGCCATATCTTTGTACTAAATTGTGCTATACAAATAAATTTGCCTTGCCTAGCTCTCACATGTAAATCAGCATAAGTAGTAATTAGTTTATACTTTGTATTTAATCAATTACAGAGAATAAAAATTTATGCTTTTTTTTTCCAAATCTTCAAAATATGCATTATTCAATATATGCGGTTTTTAAACAAAGGTAAAAATTAAGGGAACACTTTTGCAACAAAGTTATTGTGGATTCCTTTGGGTTTTACTTTAATCTTTTTCAACCAGCTCTTCAAACACCACAATCTCTCTGCTATTCATTACAGGTACGGGCTTTTTTCATCCCTACTCATCTCTGATCGCACCTACTGCTGAGCAGGGCCAGGAAACACACACAAAAAAAGAAAGGCATGAATTGGAATGTTTGAAAATTGGTGTCCTGAAGCAGAGTCAGGACAAGTAGAGCCGTGGAAAAGCAGCATTTTGTCACATTAAGGGTGTAAAAAGATCTGAAATAATTTAACATGATTTTATTTTATTTTTGTTTAGATCACCAGCTTGGCATGTTGATGATAGTGCATAAATGTTTCATATTCTATTCTCACCCGACATTGTATGATTCAGTAAATATAGCCCATCATGACACGTTTTAGAAATTTTAGTTGTGCTTATAGAAATCTACAAATGTGTCATATTTTTTTAAGATAAAAAAAAAAAAAGTACAGGAGATTCCAAGACCTGATAGTTTGTATAACAAACACCAATCATACATGTTTCGCACTTCTAATAGTTTAGTTAGCCATTTCTCACATATAAAGTTTGTCATGTTAATAATGCATGCTAATTTTTTTCTTTAGTAGCTCTGCAGACTTTCTGAATGGGTTTGAATATTTTCATTGACTTTATTTTTTCCTCCTCACCTGTTTAGTCCTTAAACCCGACCATCTTCAGTGGATTGAATATTAGAGGTATTGTACCCCCCTAAAAATTGAAAATATGTCAATGACGTATTTCTCAGCTCGTCTCAAATCTTGGATGTCTGTTTTCTTTATCTTAAGGAATTCTTTGATACTGCAAAATAGGTTTTTGTTGTATTCTAACTAAAACTGTCTCAGTTAAAGGAAAAAAAAAATTTTGTTGGCGGTTCTGACACATCGTAGAGCTTCTTAGTAATGAACCAAAATAAGGAGTTTGTTGTGCAGTACTACGAAACAAAATGATCTTTTTAGGATGGTCTTCTCAGTCTTCCGGGTCATGGCAAAGGCAAACCAGGCTTAAATTGGAGGTAGCCAGACTCAGTTTTTCTGAAAATGCTCAGAGGCCCACACCAGAACAATCTGTAGTTGGAGAGCTGATGTTTTTAAGCAACTGGAAGATCATCCTTCTGAGTACAGCCCAAGAATCACGTCAGAAATACCCACCAGTCGTTCTCCAGAGTCTGTTGTTTTTGATGAGTCCTGTTTTTGCCATTTGAACCATGATGAGCATGTATATGTTACCATTTGTATAAAAAAAAAAAAAAAAAAAAACGCACCCAAATGATTGCATTTGTTTAGTTATTGCAATGGTTGGCTGCAATTTGTAGCAATCAGTAGTAGTTGTCTCACGGCCATGGGAGGAAAAAAAGCAGTTTAAATCTGTTAGTGTGGGCTGTCATGCTTGGCAGAGGGAAGGCTGGTAAAAAAGGGAAAGCTCTGGATGAGCTAAAGCATCCTGGATTTAAATAAACTGCTCAGCCATACATGTTTGAAATGTAAAGTTAAGAAAAACATATTTAACTTTTCTGTATGACCCGAGTTACCTGTACTAAGATTAATTATCTGCTGGTAAAAAATGGGCTCAATTCCAGCAAAACAAACAGGGAGAAAAACAAATCTTTGCTGACATAAGGTTTTCTTTTACATTTGAGAGGTCAAATAAAATAACCACAGAGCTCACCATGTGCTTTGTGTGAAACATGATTTAATTTGTAATGAATGATACAATAAATGACTGATAATACCAGTTCCAGCACAAAAATTAAATGCAAACACTGATTTAAATGCCAACCTGATTAACATGATTGCATCTGACATTACTTTACTTTAAAAGCTACATCATATTTAAAATGAACATTTTACATGTCGCTGTAAGGGGAAACAATAAGCTGTAAAAAATAACCTCTTAATCAGTAGAAGTATTTTACCGCTTTTTTCGTCATAAAACTGAAAAGTAACAGATATATTACATTTTTTCATAAAGAAAAAAAAACTGATGTAGGCAGGAAGAATCCAAATTTAAGGTTGATTTTAAAATGTTAAAAAGGGCATTTGATCTAGCACAACTTAATAAGGTGCACATAGCTTATACCGAAATATGTCTTACATCTATTTAACAAAAAAAGAGCTTAAAATATCAATAAACAGACAGTATTCTCAAAAATACATTTCCCTATGCATGTTTTTTCAGAAACTTTAACAAAAACAAAGAAGGAAAACAAAATGCCTAAAAAAATAGGTTTAAACACATAATGATCCAAATGTAAAAGGCAGTTTTTTAAGATCATACTTTAAAATAATTATTTAAAAAAAAAACAAAGCTGTTTTTTCCCCCCTAAATGTGAATGAGGGTAATTTTACACAGGAACAGAAAAAAAAAAAACTATACAGGAAAACCGTGTGTACAGAGAAAGACATCATTAGTAAATCCTCACACATAAGGTCAAATCCCAACAAAAGGGAGAAAAAAAACCCCAAAGAGGACGATATTTCCTTTCACATGGGAGATGCTACATCCATGTTCAGAGTAATTGAATCTAAAAATAAAGAGGAAAAAAAAATTAATGCTGATGCCATGCAATGTAACCTTAAATAACGCTCTGATAGAAACGCTTGAGGACAACCAAACCTAATATTTGTGTTTGCTAAATGCCACTTACCCAAATGGCCTTGATTAGCTTCAGCTTCAGGCGGCATCAGAGACTCCAGAGTGTGAGGCGACATGAGGAACAGGTCACTGGTGTTTCCAGAATTTGTGCTGTAAAGACACACAAACAGGAACAAACTGCATAACACTGCGTATCAAAGATATTCACATGAAAACATTTTTGTTTGAAACGACTATTGAAATGTTGAACTTAGATCGGAGAGGTTAGATCAGCATCGTCCCACTTTAAGACAAATATTCAAGTTGTTATTCAGTCACCAGTCTGCTATTAATACAGTAAATAATCTAATGTTTGGGTCAGTATGCACCATTATTTACACGTTTCTGATGTTTGCAGGCAGATAAATAGGGAAATATTTGACAACGACTTAAGAATAGGACCAGTTTATCAAGCTGTTAAATTAATTTTTAATTTGCAATCTGTTTAAGTGATACAATGTTAGATTTAATATAAACTCTATATATACTCTTTATTTACAAACCATGTTTATTGGATGTTAAATACGTAAATACGACCACACATTTCTAGTGGATTAAACAAAAGAAACAAACAAAGAATTAGTAAAAACACCTCTTTGTTAAAAAAAAAAAAAAAACTAAATACAGCCACAGTTAATGCAGACGAAAAGTAGAGAATAACTGACCCCAAACACCTTTTTTGTTAGTCCTTTTTTGATAAAGCCTAACGTGTGAGACTTCTTATGGTTCAAAGCTATGAATTAAAGTTTGCCTTTCTACTCAAATCAGACAGTTTTGTTTAATTAAAGTATCACTTGTTTAGTAAGGAGGTAAAACAAAACTATTTATATTTAAAAAACAAACCAAAAACTTTGTGCAACGTAGACTGCGTTCACCTTGACGATTTAGTCTTAAAGGAATAGTACACCCAAAACATGATTAGCCTTCATTTTCTACTCACCCCCATGCTGAACAACACTCTGGAGTACTTTTTTGATATCTCAAATGCATCTGGAGATCTGGGAGGCTTCTTGCTGTCTGCTGACTTTCAAATAATGGAGGTCTATGGCGCCCGAGGCAGAAAGGTACATAAAAGTCCACAAAAAACGTGTCAATATTCCTCCATACTGCTCGTCCAATGTATTCCAAGTGTCCTAAGTGGGTAGCGTCCATAATTTACTCGAAACAAAGTCATTTAGAATGTTTTTAGAGCATAAACAGTAGTGTATAGGATTTCCTAAAAGCGCGTTCACGAGTCTACGGAAACAGCGGCAGACCAAACCAGATGAAAGTGCGCATTCAGTGTCTGCTCTGCCGATTATGCAAGCGTAGAAGAAGAAATGTGCTGTTTACCTGTGCAAAGAAAGAAACAACGAAAGAAAAATGTCTGAGGACTTCAGTGTTGAGGAAGAGCATGAGTTCTTTGCCGAGCTGAATGCGCACTTTCGTCTGGTTTGGTCTGCTGCGGTTTCCGTAGCGTCGTGAACTCGCAGGCGCACGCTTTCAGGAAATCCTATACACTACTGTTTATGCTCTAAAAACATTCTAAATGACTTTGTTTCGAGTAAATTCTGGATGCTACCCACTCAGGACACCTGGAATACATTGGACGAGCAGTATGGAGGAATATTGACACGTTTTTTTGTGGACTTTTATGGACCTTTCTGCCTCGGGCGCCATAGACCTCCATTATTTGAATGTCAGCAGACAGCAAGAAGCCTCCCAGATCTCCAGATGCATCTGAGATATCAAAAAAGTACTCCAGAGTGTTGTTCAGCATGGGGGGGGGGGAGTAGAAAATGAAGGCTAATCATGTTTTGGGTGTACTATTCCTTTAACTACAAAATGTTTTGACACCACCGGTTTAGAAAATTTAGGCGTTCCAAGCGAGGTGCAGCATGCTGACTGGGTTAGATTGAGCGTCTCTCTAGTGAACGGCACGAATCACTGGATCAAAAAGGTTCCTTAATCTTAAGCTCAACTGACTTGACTTTTGAAATGTTATTGCTTTGCAAGCAAAACCATCAAAGTCATCTTTAAAATGCATTCAGACCGAGTGCAGTGTCCGCGGTGAGAGCGCTGGATTTGCATATCCTTATGCTAACTGCGCAGAGAAGAAACCGGCAATGAATCCAATGCGGTGACGGCGCTCACTGCTCGCTCTCACCTCGCGCTACTAGTTAGAGCTGAGGTGTTGTCAAACAGCAGCTCCGCATGGAGAGAGAGGAGAGTTGATCGGTGAAGTGGAAACGAGCTGAACTTTTCTATGAAATCGCGACACAGCAACCAATCAGGGACTGGTTGTAGGTGAAGCTTTTTACAGTTAAAATGGAATACAGATAAAATAATGTTAAAGGTAGAAATAAGGAATGCTCTCAACAGGTATTTAGATGGGTTTAAAAAAAAAACATTTTGTCTTGAAGAACTGTTAATCATCCTCCCTTACCTCCAGCACCTACCCCAGTCTGTTGCTACCCAATCCCCAGCATTGATGCTTCCTGCATGGGGAGATCTAAAAGGAAGATGACGGAATATTACCGTCATCTACTTTTTTCTGTACTTTCCAGGATTTTCGTAAAAATGGATGGTAAACCGAATCCCAAGCCAATTTATAGAGAACCACTTAGCAGCAGTCCATGAAGTTAACATACAACTGTGTATGTCAATGCTATGGGGTTGCTAGGGGTAACGGCAGGACCAAATAAGGAAAACATGCCTGCTGTTATATTAAATGCATCAGGAATGATATGTGAAGTTATGCAATAACTTTATATCAGGAAACAAGCGCAGCACTAATATCTGCTGAGATGGCAAAGTCATCAACCAAAATAGTGAAACTGAAATTACCGAAAAATGATTTCACCTTAAAAGGCAGCCCAAAGCCGGTTTAACATGCACAAATCAAGTAGCACTGAAAAAGTAGGTAATTTTGATTCGAGTTTAACGGGGTATGGTTGACCTCTGGATGACTTAAAAAATATCCAGATTTTTAAAAATGTATTTACCATTTTAACTGCAAAAACCTGTACTGATGAGGCACTAAACATTCAGTCTATTTGCCGAGTTTTTCCACATTGGTGGGGTTTCAGCTTCACGCAGCTGAAACTCCTCCTATTTGATGATGCGTTCCAGGGTGTAAACAATGTGCATCTGAAATGTAGAGTGGTGAACATCCAGCGGCACTGGTGAAAATCACAGCAGACACCGCGTTTGGTCTGGATGCACCATTAGACATAGCACTATTACAGCGTGGAATCATTGTGCCCTTCTCCCCAAACAAGTGACTGACACAGTGAGTGGTTTTGAATGGAGGGTTATGAAAAAATGTCTGAGAAGCAGGAGGACAAACGAAAGGCATCAACGATCAGTAATGACATGCCATTGATATTGTTAGCATAAAGAAAAGCTAAATTCTCTAAGCTGAGAGGAGCTTTTGTGAGATACATACAAAAATGGAAATTATACAGATGTGATCACTGGAGTAATATCTGTGAAGCACAACTGTATAATAAAATGCAACATAAACATACAACAAAAAAGAGGTAATGAACACACATCCCTACATGCGACCTCCCCCCCATGAGGCCTACCCTGGGAATCCGTTCCCAAGCAGCTCACTGTCTTGCAAGTCCATGAACACGGAGGGACACCTATGGAGACAGGTCAGGATCTGACTGAGAAAACCTCAAAAGCCACCAGCACGCTTTCAAACCTACAAAGCACCACAGTAACACCGGCGGGTATCCTTTATCCCTTAACCTCCACCATTCTTCTAGGTCCTTTAGTCTTTTCCACTCCAAGAAAATTAGTAACTAATTTACAACCATTAGTAATTATTACTTATCAACACATTACAGACTAAATTTGCATCAAGTTTTTATATTTACTTTAGGAAGTGATTCAGTTCAGCTCCAAGTTCTGCAATGTACATCTTCCTGGTAAACATATGGAATAGACTTAACAAGAAACCAAAAATAAATAATAATAAAAATAAAGAAAACAGAAGTCCAAAACTACTGGTAGTCCATCTCTGAAAGTTTCTGATACATTATATTTACAGTACTTTGCAAATATATTTTGCTTTTTGGACTTTTAAATATTGTTTCATATTCTAACTGCAAACTTTTACATACAATGATAATTTCATGTGATAAAAAAAGTAGCAAATGTCTGTGAAAATGTATAGTATTCAGACTCTTCTAATGGGATATATCATTAAACAAAATCCAGTGCAAGCAATGGTCCTCAGAAGTTAACTACTTAGTAAATTCAATCATCCTGAGTGTAATTTATTCCAGTATAAATCAAGCTACTCTATGATGTACGTTAGAGATGGCCAAGAAGCTGCAGGGATTGGGGCAGAGGATCAACTTCCATTAGAGCTACAGCAGAAGTATATTTATCAAAGCGAATTAATTTGTTAAAATAGCCAAATCAAAGTCTAGACCTTATTAAACTCTTGAAAGGCTCATGTCCAAACATATTCTGCAGAGGATTGGACTCAAATGTCAGCAGAGCTGATAGAGCTACATAGGAAAGCTTGTAACCATAACAGTGGAAGGTCATTAAAGTATCGACTCAAGCAGACTGGATGCAAATGCACGCAAAATGTTTCAGAACATCCTTTAGCAAGGAATTTGAAAAAAAAAAAAAAAAAGTTTTTTTCTTTCATCTGCTTTTACGAGCAACTTTGTGTTGGTCTGAATCTTGCGGTTTGTGACAACAAGCCCTAATACTTTAATAAGGTCCTGTATTTTGGCTATGTTTAATCAAAACATAAGGGTTTCAGCACTGAGAGTGCAAAGAAATTCTTGCAATTTCGCAGGACGATTATTAATATTAGTTCAGTGTAAAACGCTTTAAGTTTCTGTTCTGTTTAAAAAAAACAAAAAAAGTTTCTGTTCACAGCAGAAAATATCCAGATATAAAAGAAAACATCCACGTTGAGTTTGGAAGTTTTCAGGTGAGATGCACCAAAAAACGACAGCCAATTATAAGAGCAGAATGATGGGTACTTACGGGGTCACACAGATAAATTTAGTCTTGAGGTATGGCTGGATAGCTGAAAGAGAAAGATAAGTCCTTAGTTAAAACATTAAAGCACTTGTTAAAGCTGTGTAGATGCCCTGTAGTGACTTACTGCTCGTCGAGTCTCCTGCCGCCTCAGGCTCATGAGCCGCCTCCGGCCTGCAGTATTTTCCGAAAGCCTCCTCTTTGGTTACATCAGGATAGAGATAAACAAGAGGTGAGACCAAGATATTGGTGGCATCCATGATCTTGTAACTCATGATGATGTCTGCAAACGACATGCTGCTGAGCTGCTGCTTTGTGTACGGCTCTACGGACTGGATCTGGGTCTTTCCTACAAAATGGACAAAAACGTAAACGTAAAAAGTAATGACAACAAAGTCGGATTATTTCATCACAGGAACGACATAGCGGTTTTTATATGACTCACCTCCAATGTCTTTCTCTACCCACGTAAATGTTATGCCGCCCTCTTTGCTGCTCTCACTGAAGCGCAGAAGAAATGTGCCAGGAGGCTTTGGACTCAGAATGGCTCTCTCTCTCTCCTTACTGATAAAACCCATGATGTATCTGTTAACAGAGAAATCAAATGTCAAACTGCAATTTTAGAGAGTTTATATTGCTTGTCTATATTGTTTCTACATTATAACAGGAAGTGAACAAGTATTTCCAGACACAGCCTGAAGGTATGAGTCTAAACAAAGTGCGACTTCTCACCCTTCATTCCAAAGGGCGAGGATGTACTTCTTCACCAGGTCAATGATGTTGTCCAGCCACACCCAGAAGGAGAAACCTTTTCCGGCCATGTTTTCCTGTAAATGAAAAAGGAAAGAAACTATTTATATAAAGTAAAACAATGAAGGCAGACTGGTCTATTTATAACTGTTAAGTGTAGTACCTTACAGAACTTGGCCCATGTTATTTGGCACCCGGAATAGTTTACGCAAGGCCCTATATCAAAAGTAACAGAACACTTTAAGTATAAAAAGGGACACAGAACATTTTTAGAAACTTTTTTTTTAGCTTGTTTTTTTTACCAAGTAGTTTTTCAGCCAGCGTGGTCAGCTGCTCAATGGTCAGGCCTCTCTTAGTGGTTGAAGAGAACTGCCAGCTCAACACCTCAGCCACCTGGTCCCACGTTCCCACCGGAGGCTTGGTGAAGAAGTTCACGTTCTTTAAAAGGAGAAACAGAGTTAAAAAAAAAAATGTTTGCCACTTGAAAAAATCAGACCTTTCCCACTAGAGGGTGCTGTCTTACCTTTGGGTGATTAGTTAACATGTTGTACCACAGGATAGAAGCCCAGGCGTTGGGCATCTGGCAAATGTTTGAAATAACAACCACTGGCAGCGAATGAGTCTGTACACAAAGACAGCTTCAGTATTAGTTTCATGTTCGGAAAAAATACTTTCTTTATTCAACTGTATCCCTCCCATTTAGCGTATAAAAAACAGAGATGATCAACTTTTATCTTCTGATGTACCTGCACTTCTCATCCACAAATTTTTACTCAGAATATCTGAATTTAAACAGCTTTTTTTCAGATCATCATACTCCCATAAAAAGACAATGAGAACCCCAGCATTATAGATCTCTCTATCTAGTCAAATCAAAACAGTTAATCCACCCGGATCACAGGGTGTGTGTGCTTTTATAGCATCAAGCAGAGATTGTGTAACAGAAGTAGATTGGTGCAGGGCTCACCTGGGACATACACCTAATTAGTGTTGCACCGATACCGATACCAGTATCGGACGGGGCCCAGATACTACCCTAAAATGGTGGTATCGGTATCGGGGAGTACCAACAAATAGGGCACCAATACCATTTTGAGAGCCATAAGTTTATTCAACTATTGTCACCCACTCCTGGTAGGCAATAAAAATTTCTACTGGATTCACTTTGTATTAGATTTTTTTCCTGCTTCACAAAGGTAAGCAGCAGCTTGACAAAGCCATGATGGCAAGTATTTTACATTATTATGGTATCGGTATTGGCCGATACTGCACAGCCAGGTATCGGGTATCGGGGCCAAAAAATGGCATCGGCGCAACACTACACCTAATATATGAGAGAAAGCTGCTGCTTTGCAAACACATGGACAGTGTTTGCCATATTTGTAACAAACCTCAGAAAACGAAAGTTACCTATGCCCCTACGGTCCTATGAAACCGCAGATGACTGCCAGAGGGTAGTGCTAAAAGCACTGAATGTTCCTTTTACACATGCACAGTTTCAGTGTCACCTTTGAGACCCTGGATGACCACTCAGAAGCTATATATGCAGGTCTTATCACGGCTCTGTTTCTACAGAATCTTCCTGCAGAAGCAAGGACTCCAAGTGATAGAGAATCTCTGGCAGTCACCCTGGATTCATAGAACTGTGGATACATATGTAACTTTTGTTCTATTTCATCACTACTAACCACCAGAGGTTCCAACGGTTGCATTTCCAAATTCTCCCGAGTGGTGCCCGACTTTACACGAGTGAATAAAGTGAATGTGATTGGTCGTTTATTAAGGGGGAGGGATTTTTGTGGCGGGAGGCTCGCAAGCAAGTTTGATTGTAGTCAGTTTCTCGGAAGCATCATGCTAACCAGTTAGCAACTTAGTGCTAGTAGGTTCCCAATGGGAAATTACATTGGGACCAATATAGCACTAAATTGGTGACTTAGAAACGACACCTTTAAGGAACACTATGGACAGCGGAATCATGGAAGAGGAGGAGAGTTTTGTGTCGGAGGTCGTGGATGAGACTCCTGCGTCATATATTTTATAATTTAAAGGAGGAAAGCGGGGACGAAGATGTTGTGGAAGAGGACGCCAGGGCGGCAGAAGCTTGGTTTGGTGTAGAAGGCTTCCAGCCGTACATGTTTGAGCCCTTGCCTCGCAACGCTGCCAGTTCTGTTAGCCCTACGCCTGCAGAAGACACAGATGTCCATCCCTGTGACCACTGGGATGTAACTCAACGGGAAAGGAAATTATCCTTATTTCTTATTCCTACCATTGCATATATTAGCTACGACATATAATTCAAGATCCTATGACCATTAAAATATGATTGGCCGAATTTAGGTGTACAGGCTGACGTATAACTAACTGGCCTGCATAAGATAACGAAGAAGAAAAAAATTTTTAAGACAGGATTTTTTTTTTTTTTAAATAGAAATTTTCTAAATATGACTTCCCTACAACTTTAAGCCTGGACACACAAGCCTGCATGGAAACAGATTTCCTTTCACAGTAGGAAGAAAATAATGTACATTTACCAAAACCATCTGGAATAGCATAGTCTGGGTGTGAAAGGCATTAAATGTATGCTCGTCTTTAAAGTTCTGACTTTCCAGATGTACCGTCTGCTGTTCTGGTATCAAAAACAGACACTGGATTTGATCTACCCTACATTTGGGGGGAGGTTATTATAACAATTGGCATGAATGGTTGTTAAAATTTAACTGACAAAAGGTTGGTGACTTTCTTAGAAATAAAATACCCAGTAACAATCACAACCTGGTTTAAAATACAAACCTAAAAATATTTTCCTTTAAACCCTCTGAGCATTTCATATTTTCTATATCTAATTTTTTAAAGGTGCCGACAGCCTAAGTTCCATCTTATTTATACCATTTTTACATAGCAGCAAACAGAAATGTCTACACGGCATTGAGAACACTTTTGGGTTATTCTAACCTCAGTGGTGCCAATGAGGTCAAAACTGCTATTATTGGTAAAGTCAATTTTATGAAATTGCACGTTTAAAGCATATGTGGAACAATTATGGAGAATATTTGTGTTTCTTAAGACATAAATCAGACATTAATTCCTATATTTCAGCTGACTTTTAATGAATGTCTCCCCAGACCTCGAAACAAACAGCAGCTACTCACCTCTAGATCTATCTTAAGGCCCTGGTGATAGACCTCCGTCTCAAACGTGATAAGATGGAGTTCCTCTGTTACAATGAGAGAGGCCTAGAGAAAAATAAATAATCCATATGATTAAAACCAAGTATACCAAACTTCAACAGGAGTCATTTTGATGGATGTTCCTGAATGTGAGACTTACATCACTGTTGGTCCGGCCGCCGTTGCCACACCTCTGTTCTCGCAGAGTCTGCAGCACACAAGAAGTCAGCTCAGCAGATCACTTTCCAATCACTTCAATTTAACAGGTTAGAGATTTGCTTTCCATAACTTACCAAGTGTTTAAACTCTGCTGAAAGGCTGCCGTTGTTGGATTCCTCCATGTTCATGACTTTTGTGTTTGTGCCGAGAATATTAAACTTTCGAGACCTAGACGAAGAAAAAAAGAAAAAGGAGATTTAGCGTAATTTCTTCTGATACAAAAGATTAAAGATGTTTTTCCTCAGCTTACCCTCTAATTGCAGCCACATCCCCAGATTCCCTGAGAAAAAAAAGGTTTCAATCAGTAAAGCCTTAATCGTCCTTCAGTAAAATAACTATTTGTGAGACTACAATCAGCAGAACAATAGGGAAAGAAGAATTAATGAATCAATCGCAAAAACTCACTTGTCAATGCAAACTTTAATCTTCAGTTGGTAATTGAGTTCAGGAAACTTTACAAGCAACCTTGAAAAAAAACGAAGCAAAAAGAAACGGAAAGAAGGTTATTCTCACGTTGAGCTGTTAATTACTTTTCTTATTTTCATGTTTTAATATGTAAAACAGAAATAAATAAATGTGTAGAATTGAGGTGATATTTGTGATGTAGTTCTGAATCTTACCTGACTTTTGTTGTGAACTGCACTCCTGTTTTGATGACCAGCGGTCTGTCCGGATGCATGGGCATGCAAGGCTGTCTTTCAACCACAAAGGCGCTAAAAGTAAAACATTTCCAGGATGTCTTATTATAGCAAATTGTCATTAAGAGCATACAAAAGCATTTTATTCATGAAACAAGATGTTATCCCTGTTGCTAACTAAATAAAACACTACCTCTTCATGAGGTTTCTGAACAGGTCCACTATCTTCTCCTCCAAAGCTGGCCGGTGCTGAATGATGGGGTCTCCCTTGTAGGACACTTTCTGTTGAAGCTCCTCCAGTTTCTTAATCTGTTGACGGATCTGGAGTTGGGACTCAGCCAAGGATGTGATCCTGATTAGAAAATGAGTTGAAGGTATAACATTTTATGAGACAAATACAACTTTTTTAAGATGAAGGTAAATAATAAAACAGAACACAGTGAGCTTGACTAATTAATTTCATTTAAAAAGGCAGAAGTCAAATATGTGTGAACTTTTAATTCAATTCAATTCAGTTTATTTATATAGTGCCAATTCACAACACATGTCATCTCAAGGCACTTTACAGTTCAACCAGATCATACAGTCAAGTTGATACAAAGCTATTTATCTAAGGAAAACCAGTTGATTGCATCGACTCATTGACTCTTCAGCAATCCCTCACACTAAGCATACTTGTAGCGACAATGGAGAGGAAAAACTCCCCTTTAACAGGAAGAAACCTCCAGCAGAACCAGGCTGGAGATTTTATAGGAATGACAATGCTTTTCAGTGTAGCTTAATTTCGTTAGGTACCATGTTTCAAGGCGATCGAGGCAAATGTTAGGTGGACCTCCAATGCAGGCAATTTGTTGTCTTCTCTTCCAATCTGCAAGTTCCTCATCAGTTAGATTCTTCTGCACATAATCCATAGCCGTCAGAAGACCTCCCATTTCTGTCACGATTTGCTATAAAATCAACAGAACACTCATTAAACAAGGCTTTAAAAGGACACTAGCGCTCTGTGGTCCAGACATGCGTTCATTTTTTAACATTATTAGGGTAAAACAAATATAGCAAACATGTTTTTGCTTTCAACTCTCAATATGAGTGAAAACAGCCCTACCCTCCTGAGCTGGTCCAGGGCACTCAGCATTTGCTCAAGCTGAGCCATCTTCTGTCTTGTAGCAGCTGCCTGGCTGTTTCCATTGAGGTCCTGGGACAACTCTGAGGAGACAACAAACATGTAGTCCATCAGATAAAGAGTTACATTTATAAGGACATATCAACAGTTAAAGCTGATAGGGTAACATTTAAAACATACCCCCTTGACTTTTCAAGGTTTTGTAGTTAAAGTCAAAATCATCTTGGAGGTTTTCAAGCATTTTCATCTTCTGTTCCATATCCTGTTGGAAGAAAATAATATATTTCAGATAATTGATCACAGATAAAACAACTTTAGGTGGTTTTAAGGCTGTGTTTTAAGATGTTAAATAATGATGCCTTTATACAAATATGACTGTTTTCACACCAGGATAGTCTGGGCGACTCGGCTGCTCTGGGTTCACTTATAGACTCCATGTTTAACATAAAACAAAACCAGTTAAACAGTGTGAAACTGTTACAACAGTTGCTCGTTGAGGGTGCTACAGTAAGAACCGGCCTGGTGTGAGAAGCTGCTGGGAATGACATACCCTTTTAACATTTATTATAAATGATATGCTCCTATTACTAACTCTAATTCAAACAAACAGTGTCCAAAATTAAATATCCTAAAATAAATACAGAAATAAATAAATGCTCAATAAATAAATACGCATACAATTAATTGCCCCCAAAAATACAATAAACAAATAAATGTGGGTAGAAATTAAATTATAAAGTGAGACATAAATGTATGAATCTCTTAATTAGCTTCTTTGTTTTTTCGCCTTTGTATTAATTACCTTATTTATTTATTGTCAATTATAATCTTCAACTTTATTTATTACTTATTTTTTTAAGTATTTATGTGCATGTGATAATATTTTTGTGTTTTATTCTTTTTTGTATTTTTTACCCTATTTACATTTCTGTATGCATTTCTGCCTCCTTATGCAAATGAGGAGGGGTGTGTCTTAGAGGGTCAACTTCCCTCTAAATAAAACAGACAAAAATATTACAGCATGCACACACATATTTTAAAGTAATAAATAAATAAAGTAATTATAACAAAGGCAAATAAGTGAAGAAGCTAATTAAAAGAGATTGATACATGTATGTCTCACTGTATAATTTAATTTCTAACTTCATTTATTTGTTTATTGCATTTTTTGGGGGGCAATTAATTGTATGCTTATTTATTTATTGAGCGTTTATTTATTTTTAAAAGTGGCAGAGTTGGTCCTCCACAGAATGATGCAATAGAAGAGCAGAAAATTTTAATTGTGACCCGTAAGAATGTCATTAAGCATATCTGAAATGTAGTTTATAGAAATAATTCATTCCTGCAGAGAATTTGTTTAAAATCTCCCTTGAACACTAAATATTAAAATTGCTTGCCATACAGCCTTGAAGCCATCTATCCAGCATGTTACAGAGGTATGATGTTACAGGATAAATAAAGATGGATGACAGACTCGGACATAATACTAAGGTTAAAAAGGCAATGACGGGGGATTTATAAGCTTTAAGTTCAAATGTATATTCATGTTCACCTGCTTGGTCAAAGCTTTAAAAGTTGCACTAACAGAGCAGATTACTAACAAAATAAACCATGGTCTGTTTATAAAGCACACAGAAAAGTCTGCAACAACTGTGGCTGAAAAGTGGGGACACACCTGCACGCGCTTTCTGATGTCCTGAAGGTTGTGCTCCAGTATCTGCTGCTTTTCTGTCACTACTGTTCCAGTGGGATGGGCTGCTTGGCCATCCTGTCATAAAAATAAATATAATCAATAATGATTAAATAAATATCCGTGTCGAAGTTTTTGCTTCTTTTCCGTATAAAACCCTACACTCTGAAGCTGGGTACAGACATATACCTGTGTAGTAGAGGTGGCAGTCTGCAACAGTCTCTGTTCCTCCCACAAACAGCGGGCAACAATGCGTGCAATTTCCATCGGTTTCTCCAAATATTTACTTTGCAGATGCTGTTTAATCCTGCGTAGGTTGTGCTGATAGAGTACATTATTCTCCTGCAGAAAACGGCTATACTGCTGGTCTATTTCACCGAGGAGGTTGTGGAACACCAGTGTGGCATGTGATTCCTTGTTGGCAGCATAAGCCCTAGTGAAAAAAATGAATAAAATAAAACACGAATCAGGTTTTACCCATTTCTAATGAAACCTAAACAGCTTTCAAATAAACAGGAAAACATTACAAGTATATGAGGCGGAAAGTAGCATTTTATTAAAACATAAATTATGTAATATATTGCATTTGGGTAATTTTGTAGAACCTTTTAGTAAAATGAAGCAAAAAAAAAAAAAAAAAGCACTGCATTATGTGTTGTAAGCTAATAAGAAATAATGGTTCCTTTGTAGTAAAGAAGGATGATATGTATAAAGTGCTCTGGTGTAATATGCTTAATCAGCAATAAGGAAAGAGGAAAAAAAACAAAGATCTGAATAATTCTCACCAGTCCTGACTCTCAATCCACGGGGCAAGGAACTGCCGTAGCTCCATAGGGAAGCTGTCGCTATAAAGGTGGTAGAGTTGCTCCAGATACCTGGTCTCCAGCTGCTGTAACTGGTTCCACTGGGCCATCCTGAAACACGATGCTTCTGAAATGACACACCGAAAAAGTTGCAACAACCACGAAAGCAGGATAGCCAAAGCAATACACATATCTGACAAGAAACAAGAACATCATTAAAAACAAAACCTGCCACAGATGCCTCAACAGAACATATCTCCCGGTTATCGGCAGGAAATGGCTAAACACAGCGTTTGCTCTGAAAACGATGACAGGTTGTATGGGGCCTTCTTCTTAGCAAACTCACTTCCTGTGCAGTGAAAAGCTGAGCTTCCAACAAGAAATATAGGCGGTCTTGATCAGCTGTATGCTCTCCAAGCAGATTAGAGTTAAGATCTCTGACCAAAGTTTTGCCCCGATGCTGCTTTCTGGAAACAACCAAAAACCACACTTCCTTTTCTTAGTTATCTTGAACCTAGTGAGTGTATGGACTTGAAACTATAGAATCACTTTCCTTTATCTGATAAAGCGTGGACCTAAAAAGACCGGTTTCGATTTTTTCACGTTTTACCTAGAAAGTGCAACTTTAGCCACATTTTTAAAGCACCTGCAGACAAAGACCGGTGTTACACATCGGGTCTATCTAGCGGGGTCTTGCGGCTTCTCTTTTAGCCAGAACCAGGCTAACCTGGAGGTTAAAAAAAGGAGAGATCTTTTGATTGCCTGTTATTGCGCTGAAAAGTGTTATACCAGTAAAACGAGTGTGTACATGAACAGGTTACCAGTAAATGAACGGTCACGAATAACCAGTTTTTTAATTGCATAACAGAAACGTGTCTAATAAAGTATGCAGGAAAAAATTCAGAGTAATCGAGTCAAAAAAAGATCCTTAGTCACTGATGAAATTGTTGTAATATCGGTGTAATTACAATAAACTGCAAGTTATCCACAACACTAATGGGAGTGTTTAGATGTGAAAGTATGTAATTAATTATCGGAACAGGTCAGAGGTATCATTATTAGCACCTTTACAATAAATAATATACTGTAAGGGAAACAACCTTATATAACACACTGCATGAGCATAGGGGTTACGTTTGGATCAAATTAGTCATCTAGTGTCTGAATTAACAAAGGACAATTCAAAATGAAACTAAAATCTTCAGATTTTTTTATTTGCGTCTCAAGAAACAATAAACTGATACAGATGTAGAGGGATTTTTTTCCCCCACTCCACCCATATCAGTTGTCTCCCAATTATCAAGACTTTCATACGACCTTTGTTCCTCTTTCACTAGCACATAGAAAAGATGCTTCATGATGTGAATTTCTGGGCAAGTGAAACCACCAAGAGCATCACTTCAAAGAACTAGTTACCCTCACCACCAAAACAATGACAAGTCTTTCAACTTTCTAAAATTACAGACATCATCCCCACTTTGTATTATTGTAACCTAATATCGATCCTAATATTTCTTACTTCAGTATGTTCACTGCTTTTTACGAACCTATGTAGGAATATACAGACATATGGGGAGGGTCTCATAAGGGTGATAAATAATTCAGTGTGTACAATCACAGAGAGAAAAATATCAGGGTTTCATTTTTAGCAGGCATCTAAAAGACAATAATAGTCTGGGTCAAAAGGGTAAAGCACACAAACCCTGGTTTGTATGGATCATAAGTGAAAAGAAACACTTGTACCTTCAATTATATAATTAGATCTAATTCACCTAAAACAATTTATCCACAATAATCAGCCATTTAAGGTCAGGTATTTCTATGTAGCCGTCTAATATCTGGAAACAGCCCGCCTCTTACTGGTAAAAGCACATTGGGATTCTTTAAACAATATCAGTGATATTCCAGGAACTACTTCCGTGAACAAAGAAAACCATAAACACGCAAAGGTTCCAGTTTTTCTTTGTTTTTTTATTTTAAACCGAATGTAAACGCACTAAAAACAAAGAGTCTGTTGATTATTTGACATCTAAAACAGTCAATCGCTGTTTGTAAACGTCTGTTTTTTTCTGAAATAAATAAACCGTGATGTTATCAGACACTTTGGCCCGCAGATGACATGGAGATGGGCGTGACAAACCATCAAGGCATAATCCAATTTAAGATTAATTTGATCTAAATATGATCCTTATTACTTTTTTTCAATTTTAGCCGTCCAAATATCAGTTTTAGATAATAACACGTGTCAAAATCTCGAAAATAAAATAACACGTGTTTTCACAGTAAAGTTAGTGGATCTAAAATATAAAAATAAAGGAAAGAGGGGAAAAACGCTTAACTTATGTAACACTGCGGATGCAGAAAATGTTTCCACACCGAATAACCGATGACCTAGTTGCTGTGCAGTACTTTTAGCAGGGTAGCAATAGAGCTAGCTAAGCATTCTGTTACAAATAACCCGGGACTAAACCATACCGGAGAAGATTTCGCTTCCCAGAATTTATTTTGTAATAAAGAAAAAAAGAAATGCAGAAGTCAACTGATGGTCCCTTACCTCGGTCGTTGTCACTTCTGCGAAAGTTTCTCCGACGAAAACCGTTAACTCCAGACTATATACACTGACAATAGCTGCCAGTTAAGTCCTGTACGTTAAAAAAATAACGAACAACCATAAATGAGAGTTGGAATTTACAGAATATATCTATTGATTTTCTCTCCCCAACACGAGAAAACTCTCCGACGCAACTACTAAGCGCCCAACCCATCAAACCGACTGCAATTGCGCCAGCCAAACATATCACAGTTTCCTCATTACTGTCAGCAAGGTTCTCCAATCCTGAAGGAGCCTTTCTTCTACAGCCAATAGGAAAGCGTCTTTTGCAGAAAAGAGGCGGGACTAAATAGCATGCTAGGTTGAACTACCTATGTTTATTGCTGCCTGAACTGAGCTCTTCCGCCAAAGTCACCCTCCCAGGTTGAAGACCATATTTAGGCCTAAACATTGGACTGTCCCGGAGGGAGGCTGAACCATTTAGCAGAACAGCCAGCCTGGAAGTCATCTGAGTTACTGGCAAATGCTGTCGTCATCGAGGTTAATAACACAAGGGCCTTTCTCTATTGATCTAGGAGACTTAAAATTAATTAATAGATACGTGAATACGTCTTCAGAGTTCGCGGATAGAATAAACAACTAAACGGAAGCACGAGTTATATTAGATAACGCTTCTGTGTCTCAAATAAACTAGATGTCATTTAGAAAATGAAGGATCATATTCATAATTAAGTTATTTTATTTATATTAGCGTTTCAAAACGATATTTAACATAAAAGAAGTCAGTAATAATAAAACACACTTATATGTGTATTCAGCATTAGTGAATCATTATCACATTCTTTAGCTGTGCCATGCTGCATTTAAAAGTAGTTATGAATAAGGCAAAGTATCCAATGTGTCAAAACAATACCTTCACAATCCTAACCTTAAATCACATAGTTTTAATTTTGTCAACGGTTAAAGATAAAAATAAGTATCTAATCATATTAATAAAACACAAATATATGTTTATTCAGCATTAGTGATTCATAATAACATTTTTTTGCCGTGCAAGGCTAGATTTAAAGATATAGTTTTGAACAAGGCAAAGAATCCAATGTGTAAAACAACAATACTTTTTCAATCCTAACCTTAAATCACATAGTTTTAGTTTTGTCAGTGGTTGAAGATAAATATGATACCTATCTAATCATACATAATAACTTATTATTTAATTATTCATAACAACTCCTATTAATTCTGCTTCACCATGAAACAATTGCTTATACTTATAATATCACACACATGCATTCCCTGTCTGTATTTTTTGTCTCCGTTCCCTTATGCTGCTCGGTGTTTAGAGAGCACTCTCCTTAATTGTATTTCCACATCCATTGATTATTTCAACAGTGTTTCTTGCCACATGGGCTTTTGTGCAGCTATAACAGACCAAGGTCAGACAAATCTGCAGGGAGGAAAAGAAGAAGCTTTCCTCTTGTTCCTGTCTGATGCCTCGTATGCTTTCCTTTCATGATCTAATGTGGCAGGACTTGAGTAGTGTCATTGTTTGTTAGCATCAACTTTTGAGCATATTTCAAAAACAGCACCCCCCCCCCCCCTTCATTGTTCCTTGCCCTTTTTTCCTGTCAAAAGATGACAGCTTTATTTTAAGATTTATGAGCAGATAGATTTTACATCTAAGCAAGGGGGCCTTTTCATTATTCAGTGGATCTGCACATTATATTAGTTCTTTTCTGAAAAGTATTTTAGACTTGCATTATGTTGTTGCCTTTTTACTTTTATTTTTTATATATTTTTTTTACATCCATTGCAGTCGCATGTCTTATATCAATGTGAATGAAGTACTGATTTTATTAAACTATATGTAGGATGGGGGACAAATTTAATAATCCTTACATAGCTTAATCTCTCATTTTGTCAGGCTATTCTCTTTCTGCCTCAAATTTCCTTCCTACTTTTTGTTTTATCAAGGATAGCAAATATATTGAGATGAACTGTGACCATGGAGACAGTTTTTTTCTGTCTAATTATGTGGGTTTTGAGAAACTTGAGTACATTTCTAAATGCAACAAAAGCAACATGTTGAATGAATGCTAAGCACTACAGAAAAGATTGAATCATAAATATTTGACAACAAAGGTTCATGAAAATTGCAAGCTCCACTTTAAGGTTTTTTTTTATTTCAGTAGAGCAGACAAGAACACACAGTACAGAATCCTATACTGTACAATTGGATTTTATTGTGATATTTTAAAACAAATGTCAATTTTTTCAAAATCCATATTACCGGTACATGTATTGACAAGTATTTTTGTGTTTTATCAGAGGTGTTTAGGGAAGAATAAGATTTACTGTCTAGGTGTCAACGTGCGGGGTGAGGTTGCTTGAGGACCTAGATGTGGAGATGAGTGAGGCAGAGACAAGTTCTAGTAGGTTTAATTAAGGATACTGAAGCAAACATCCAAAAATACTTAGAAGCGAAAACCAGCAAGCGTCAGGGAAAACTCACGTGGGCAGCCACAGACGAGGAAGCAACAAAATAACAAGGAACCAGCAAACAGTGACTGAACATGAGGAGTTTAAATGGGAGACTGAACAAAGACCAGGATAATCAGTAGATATGGAGCAGGTGTGGATGGAAGAGACTAGAAGGGAGTTAGGGGAAAGGAGACAGGCACAAGGGGGCAACAGAGAGTAACTTAACACAGGCTTAAATATAACATAAAACCGAAAATAAACCTAAAATAAACAAAACAGAATTACTTAGATGATGAAAAATAAAAACTCAAAGTCCCAACAGGGGAGAACCATGATACTAGCTTTGATTACAAGGCATGATGTTTGATATAAAAGTTTTAGTTTCAGATAGATTGTACTCTGATTCTACCCTCTTGATTATATTGTTTCTTCCTAAAGAAAGAAATATTTAACCTTGCACCATTTTTTACCCACATGCCCATTACATTATCTTGGCCTGTCAACTACGTACACTCACTGGCCACTTTATTACATACACCTTGCCAGTACTTGCTTGGACCCCATTTTGTCTTCAGAACTGCCTTGATCCTTTGTGGCATAAATTCAAAAAGGTACTTGAAACTCTCCTAAGGGATTTTAGTCCATATTGACATAGCGTTGCTGATGATTTGCTGGCTGTACATCCATGATGCGTATCTCCCATTCCACCACATCCCAAAGATGACTGTGACGGCCATTTGAGTTCAGTGAACTCATTGCCATGTTCAAGAAACCAGTCTTAGATGATTCATGCTTTATGACATGGCGCTTTATCCTGTTAGAAGTAGGCAGCCATCAGAAGATGGGTACACTGTAGTCATAAAGGAATAGATATGATCAGCAATAATTATCAACTAGGCTGTGGTTTTGACACAATGCTCAGTTTGGACTAAGTGGGCGTGTGGCAAGACAATTACCCCAACACCAGTACACCACCACCACCAGCATAAATCATTGATACAAGGCAGGATAGATTTATATGGTTTACGCCAAATTCTGAGCCTACCATCTAAGATTGGAAAAGTCTTGCCTGTTCTGATGAGTCCCGATTTCAGCTGTAACATTTAGACTTAGACTTAAAAGATGACAATAAAGTCTGTCTAAGTCAAAACGTCACAGCTGAAATTGAGACTCATCAGACCAGGCAACACTTTTCCAATCTTCTATTGTCCAAATTTGGTGAGCCCGTCTGAATTGTAGCCTCAGTTTCCTGTTCTTAGCTGATAGGAGTGACACCAGTTGTGGTCTTCTGCTGCTGTGGCCCTTCAACCTCAAGTTTTGCCTTGTTGTGTATTCAGAGATATTCTCCTGCATACCTCAATTGTAACGAGTGGTAAAGATCCATCCTCCTCTGACCACTGGCATCAACAAGGCATTTGAGTCCACATAACTTCCACCAGGTGGATATCTTGTCTTTCTCGGACCATTACTTGTAAACCCTAGAGATGGCTGGGGGTAAAAATCCCAGTAGATCAGCAGTTTCTGAGATACTTAGAACAGTCGTCCGGCAACAAAAATCATACCATGTTCAAATTCACTTAAATCACCTTTCATCCCCATTCTGATGCTCAGTTTGAACTGCAGCTAGATTGACTTGACCAGGTCTACATGCCTTAATGAATTGAGTTGGTGCCCTATGATTGGCTGATTAAATTTGTTGGACAGGTAGGGGCCTGCTATTTGTGAACAGAGATACTGGTGGCAACGATTGTATGGGAGTCTTACCTCTCTCAGGGCAAGATGAAACTGCGTTCCACAGGGCAGCTATGGCTACAGCTTACAACTGTTCATACTCATGTGAATAGGAGAATGACTGATTTTAGTGTAAAGTGCTTTGGAGTCCTTGATTTGACAAAGCACCATATACTGTAAGTACAGGCCATTTACCATCAATGATACTTTGGTCAAGCTTCTCCTTAACTCACTGGAGATGTCTATTATGCAAGAAAAACCTTCTAGAATGTATAGTGCTCCAGTTGAGCAATCACTGCTGGGTAGGTTTACACAGTTTTCCCCATTTGGAGATAATGGCGCACATCGTGGTGTACTGGAGTCCTAGATGCTTGGCGATGTCATTTGAACCCCTTCTAATGATAATAGATGACAATGATTTTGTTTCTCATGTATCTTCACATTTATTAAAGCCCTTTTAAGCTCCATGTAGTCAGACAGGTTTTGCTCAAGAAATTATTTGATGATACTGGTTGTACAGATATGCTCATGAGTGTAGATAGCTGCGTTCAGTCAGGCAGGTAGATGAAATACATATAAAATATACAATAATTTTGACAAAGCTAATGATTCTTCTTTTTGCATTTTATTTGAATGATTGAGTAAATGCTTTACAAATCACAAACTCTCAAGCATCTGCAATCAGTGTAGAATAACTTCCATATTTCACCAGGCTACATATTGTACTTTTGGAGCTTACCTAAATTCTTCAGTAGAATGTTAAACACTATCACAGAGTCTTCAGACAAAGGCTTCTCCAGATCTGCTTCAAGACAGATTGCTAAAGGACATCCTTACACTTTCAGCATTTTTATTTTCCTTTTTAGACCAATTAACTATTTTTCAATTTAATCAAATTTAAAATTTTGCATAGAACCAAGAAATACCTTTGTGCTTTTAAAAAATGGAATTCCATTCAATTTGAACACATTTTATTGATTTAGAATCTATTGATTTAATAGATACTAAATGTTGCATTAACCCGCGTTTTTTTGTCAATGAGTTTGCAGAAAGGATCTTCTGTTGTTGTCTGTCCAGCACCGCAGCTGGTGAAGCCCTTGACCAAAGACAGTCTGTTGGTGATTAACAATCTTCTGAAAAGGATGCTCACTGTTGTCCCCATACTCTTCATTTTATGAAAAAATCTTCTTTGTGAAATAATCTCCAGAAGGTTTGAGGAGTCCCTAGAACAGAGCTAGCATTCTTTATCAGTCTGTTGAGCTTTTTAGGTAAATTGCTCTGAAGCTGCTACCCCAGCAGATGATAGCAGAAGATAATAGTTTTTCCACAACAGACTTATAAAAGATATGCAGCATCTTGCTGCAAATACCCAAGGAAACCTAAGTTTCCTAAATAAGTATAGTCTGCTCTGTCCTTTCTTTTAGACAACTTCACAGTTGTGTCTCCAGTGAAGTTTGTTGTCCAGGTGAATGCCAAGGTATTGATACTCCTCCATTACATCCACTTCTTCCATGATGCTAATGGGATTTAATTTGTTACTGTTTCTGCTGAAATCTACAATCCTCTTCCTTGTTTTGTTCGCCTTTAGTTTTAGATGATTATTTCTACATCGTTCCGCAAAGCAGTTCAAAATCTCCTTGTACTCAGCTTCTTGTTCATCTGTGATGCACCCAATGATTGCAGAGTCATCTGAGTATTTCTGCATATGACAGGACTCTGTCTGGTGCTGGAAGTCAGAGGTGTATAGAAGTAAAAAGGAATGGTGAGAGCACTGTCCCCTGTGGTGCTCATGACTACTTGATTAGACAGTTGATGCTGCTGTTTAACAAACTGTGGTCTGTTTGTCAGGTGGTCTATGATCCATGCAACTGTTGATGCCTCCACATGAGTCTTCTGGAGGTTCTGACAAAATAAAACCAGGATGAATCATGTTACATGTTCTAGAGAAATCAAATAACCTTTTCCTCACAGTGCTGTCTTCCTTGTCTGAAAAACAGTGGGTTTGTTGAAGCAGGTGTGTGAAGACATCTTCAACTTCAACTCCAAGGCGAAAAGCAAACTGCAGAGGGTCCTGATAGCTGCTTGTTTATTTGCTGAGGTGAACAACTGAAGTCTCTCTCATATTTGGGATGTCAGGCCCGCAGATATATAGTCAGTGAGGATTGTTGGCTAAGTTTTGTTTGGTAGCAGAACAAGGTAGGAGGTCTTCCACATCAATGACACCTTTCTTGGGTAAGACTATGGTTGAAGATGTGCAGAAGAATCCCGCAAAGCTGCTCTGTACAGACATTCAGGACTCTGGGACTGACAACATCTGGACGTGATGACTTACTGCGATTCATTCTCTCCAGTTGCCATATTCACAGGACTTCTAAAGACAGACAGGTGAAAGGCAGAGGGAGCAGCACTATGTTCTGATTTGGTTGAGGAAAAACACATAGAGACAAGAGGGTCCATGGTAGAGGTGAAAAATAAAACACTGAAGTGTGAGAGGGGAGCTCTGGGTCAGAGGGGGGTTGAATGTCTGTTTGACAGTGGATAGGAGAGAAGGATGCTGAGCTTGTTCCGGAACTGAATTATAAATGTGTATATTTTATAACTATAGACAGTCAAATGCAATACATTCTCATTGAAAACAAATAGGTAGAACCTAACGCACTACCAAATTATAATGATCAGATGCCAGCTTTGGCAAAACTCAAAACTGCACCACTATTTATCTAGTTTCAACACCTAAGGAAGACTCCCACACCTACGGATTAAACATGCATATATGCCATAGAAAACAAGGTCAGGGTGCAAATTACACATTTTGTATTTATTTATAAGCCTCAGGTTAACCCCCAGGCTGTGTGCCACCCTGGGTACAAAGCCACATCACCCATATCAAAACCACCACTAATCATACATATCAACATGCATGCCAAACATGTCAAAGATCAAACATAATTTCATAATTATGAGGTAATAAAACTTTTAGTGTGCCTTCCTTACAGACAGGCATCTAGTTAAACCAAAAAATAAAGAAAACCAAACACTTGAAAGAAATAAGTTTAGCATAATAATCTATTTCAAAAATTAGCACTGCTTTTATATGTACTTTATATATCTATAATTTGCAAAACAGACATGAGCAAACATGAAAATCATCATTGTCAGGTAAAATAAACAGAGAACAAATGAGGTGTCAGACTGTAATCACCTCAATGAAAGTCTCTAGGATTCTTGCTGTGTCCCTTCAATTCGACTCATTCATTTACCAATGTTTCCTTCCCTTTCGTTACTTGTCTTCCTGTGCCTTTATTCACTTCCCACCTTCTTTAGATGCTCTGGTTCCACCCTGACCAGCTGAGGGTCCTCTTTCATCTCTACCAGATCCTGCATATCTGGACCATCTACATTCACCAGCTCTCCTTCCTCCACCTCCACACCCAGCCCATTCTCCTCTCCTTGCTGTTCCTCTCCATCGGTCACCTCCACAATCTCTGTGTTTTGCACTACCTCCTCCTCCCCCTCGCGGACCTTCTTAACATGAAAGGTAAAGGGGGGAACCCGATACACGGTATTCTTGGAGCGAGCATAGACTGTGTGATCAGGGGTGAGGGATTTCTTGAACTTATCTTTGGAGCTTTTTATCTTTGCCCTCCGCTCCTGTTTGGGGGTCATGCGGGATCCAATTTTATTGATCTTTTTCTCAAGGTTGTGCTTCGTCTTCTCCAGATTGTCACGCGTTTTCTGCCTGGTCTTCTCCAGGTTCTCACGGGTCCTCTGCTTAGTCTTTTCCAGGTTCTCCTTGGTCTTTATTTTGGTCTTCTCCATTTGCTCTTTGGAGAAGGCCTTTTTTATGTTGTCCACTTGCTGCTTGGTGCTGCGTTGGAGACGCTTTGTACGAGACTCTTCAATAATCTCCTCAACTTCGATTTCTTCATCTGAATTTAGACTTGCTTTCACTCCATCTTGTCCTTCCTCAGGTATTTGCTCCAGGCCCTCCACTGATTGGCCTTCAACTGTCTCTGCTGTCCTGGTTTTGGATTCTTTTGGTGTCTTCACTTGGTCCTGAAGAAGGGATAAGAGAAAAAGAAACCATTATAATGCTGAAACAGAGTATGAATTAAGCCACATTTGAATTTGTTAACTACTCTTTGATGATGATTATTGTATGGTTTGATGAGTCAAACAGTGTAATCCTATTTATTCTGAAATTAAAAGCATCTGTTTAAGAAACCTTACTGAAATTGACAAATCAAAACTGAGATGGAAAATGTTGGCATGACATTTGCCAAGTGATATACTGTCTTTATGTGCAATGCATAGCTGCAGCTGGTGCAGAATGCCCTCTAGTGGTGTAAAATGATAATCTTTAATACCCTTGGCAAAAACAACAGAAATAAATAAATAAGCCAAATAGCACTTGGCTCATTTGTATTTTGAGAGAGTTATCTTATATTACTTAGCTTCATCTTTCTAGGTTGTATGTCCTCTGCTACTGTTATACTGAAACCAAAGCTATCATATCCTTGCATCTAACCACATAACTTCCTGTGATTTTCTATCATTTTTGTTTTCAAACATAAACTGTGTCTTTTCAAATGCATATTATAGGAGAAGTAAATGTAAGACATTTCAGATTACACTGTGATATATATTTTTTTAAACCAACCAGAAAAAAAATGTATGCAAAATGTAAAATTTCACAGTTGAAAAGGTCACTTTTATCCCATCATTTCATCTGTTGTTTAGTGCTGTTTCACTTCATCATAAAACCCACAGCACCAAAGCACAGCAGATTCACACTTGGTAAAATAAGTCTTTACAAAAAAGAATCAAAGAAAAAGCACAGTGACTGCTTCGTTTTCAGTGGTACAGAAAGAAAGTAAGCAGTTAGTAAAGAAAGATGAATAGATTCATAAACTCCCACCTCCTTTTCCATTTTAGCACACAGAAAGAGAATAATGAAGAGTGTTCTTATTCAGTTAAATAGTATGCTTGAAGACACCAGGTGAGAGTTTCTATCTATCTATCTATCTATCTAT